TTTTTATTTATTTATTGACTTTAGTAAGTCTAGTTGGTGTCTGCAATGTTTCTTGCAAAATCAGAAGCTACAACGAACTCTGCAGGATAGGATTCAGGTTGTGATTAAGGTCTTCAATTTTAAATGCCCTCCTGAACGTACCCATGTGTGGTCTATGGTGTCTAGCCTGCACTAACTAAAGGAAGGTGTAGTCTTATGGTGTGGAAGCCTGGATTTGGCATGTCCTGAACCTGGTGGCTGGCTAAGTCAGTCACTCTTGAGCTCAGGGAATTTTAAACTTCACCCTTACTTGTGAAATCCAGTGTTTCTAACTTGTAGCCTTACTCTCTTAAACTACTCAGATATTAACAGCATCTGTAACCCCTCCCTATAGAGAAGACCAGTACAACACAAAATTAACAATAGAGTCCATGAGTGTTTGTATTTAGTATGACTGTTCTGGAAGTGTAATAGCATTAGAGATGTGATTGTTCCACTACAAGAGATTCTTATATTAAATTAGAAATTACTTACAGTTTGATGCAGGAAATGCTGTTTTCTAAGAATGATAGAAACTGGCAGAAAGTTCCATGAAAGCCTCTTTTTTCCCCTACAGAATTGGTCTTTTGGATCTATTAGACGATAAAATGTGAATAAGCTGAATTCTAATACACATATGTGAATTTATTAAAAAGGTAAATAAATAAACTACATTCTGAAAATCAAATAATGTTAAAACAAGTCTGCTTTTTTTGTAATGCTTGTCAACTTTTTCCTTTTTTGTCCCAGTTTTATGCAAATAACTTAAATAATTTTAGGATAGCACACTCAATGTTATAAAATTATCAATAACAAGTTAATTGTTTCTTCAGTCAGCAATTTCTACATCTTGGGTTGATATTAATAAAATACAGGACTACAACCAAGTGAGGTACCCGGAGTTCTGTGCATTTGTGCGTATACTTTTGAAGCAATAAAGTGATGTCACCTTCATTAGATCATCTAAATGCAATTGTGCGTGATTATGACACATGACTTTATCAATCACAACAGAGACAAACGTTTTCTGCAAAAAACCTTCATTAGCTAAATTTTATTTGCCCACTTAAAAAATCTGCAGCTCCTGTGGCATATTAGTTGTTTGCCACGACATGAGCTTTATTTCCTAACTACTAGGGGGAAGCAAACCCTCTCCTACCTGATTTTAATTAATTACTCAGAGAGTGAATTACTTCCTTTCCCATCCATTCATTTTCACTCTAGGATGTGCATTTATATTAACATGGCCTTTGAGATGGTAAAATGAAACAGAGAATATATTTTCCTTAATGGGGAAAAAAAGAAAAAAAAGACTGGAAAAAGGTTTTTGCTGTTTCTGCTAAAATTACTCCACGGTAAATGATGCTAGGTTTTGATCACTGTAAATAAACACATATTTTTTTCATTGATACTTGGAAGTTTTCCTGATTAAGAATAGTTTTTGAAAAAAGAATAAGCTTTTTGGAAGAAGTTAACTTTTAAATTAGTGTTAGCCTTGGGCAATGATTAAAGAAATAAGCAGTACTCCTAAATCTCCATCATTTCCTTTGAGACAAATTAGAAATATTTTTTAATTTATTTTCAGCTAATAGTCATACAGAGAACAGTGAAGTAAAACAGAAATTGCTTTCCATGTGAATTCTTTGGTGGTACATCTGTCTGAAAAGCATTCCAAGCTCTTGCAGTACAATTCAAAGAACATTCTGGTGTTTGAGAAAGTCAGAAAACATCAGGATGACATCACTTAACATAGAGAATTTTGTTATGGTTTTACTAAAACTTTTTTTGGAGACATTCAAAATTTCAAAAGAAGTTTTAGTAATCAAAATATACCTGGGTTCCTTTTAGTTTATTCTTATTTCTGTTGAGACAAACCAATGTGGAGCAAGTCATAAAAATGTTTTCTATTTGACAACATAGTTGTTTATGATACTCTGTAAATGCTGACATGATCTCTTACACTTACATGCACTCATTGGAATGGATATTAATTTTTCCTTAAAAATACTTATGCATACCCTTGGGATGCACTCAGGAACTTCCAGGATTTTGGTTTCCTTTGCCAGGCCTGGAGTCTATGACTTTAACCATAATATGTTGCATTTGCTAGCAGACACTGAGGTACCATAATTCACTTTCATTTTTAGTCACTATTTGGAGCTGACCTGTAATTTTCAGTTAAGAGCTAATTTCAATTAAATTTGCTTTTCACTTTACGGAAACACATCAAATATCACTTAGCTTGACTACACTTTAATTCCATTATGTCACATTTCCAATTTTTATATTATCTCCTCTGTATGGATGTAGACAACAAAATATAAAAACCCCCTGAACTCTAGAGTACAGTTATTTGCAGTAAAATATGCAAAATTTAGGAAATTCAAGTCACTGGTTAAACTGTACTGAGTTTACAAAATTTCAAAGACTGTCTGGGAGATAACTGTGTATTTTACTTGGAATAAAATGTTTAGCAAGAAGGCTTCATTTTATGGGTGCACAAAAGCATGAGGTCATTATTTTGAAAATAATAAGGAAGTAGGTAATATGTTCTTCTGAAAAAGCTTGCATATATGCTTCAAAAGTTGGAAAATACTGGAATATTCAGTAAAGACCATTCATCATCCAGCGTATCTTAAGACACTAGATCTGAAAGTTGCCATACAGATAGTGAAATGCAAGGGTACTTAGACTCCAGAAAGCAGGATTGCAATGTTACTTAGGCCCAAGGACAACTCTTCACTATGCTTTTGATCACAGCTTTACAGTCACGCTGACAGACCATTTACATCTGACAGTGAGAAAGAGAAGATTTAGTACATGGAATGTCAGTAGTTGAGTGAAACACCACATCTTGCTCAAACATTAATGATAAATGCTTAAAGTTACATGACTTTTAAAACACACCAACACAAAATATCTCTGTCTTTTAAAAAAAATTGTAATGAAAGTCTTAATAAACTTTCACCAGTGCTGCTCTGCCACCACAATTGCATCATCCTACAGGCTGGGCTTGGGCTGAGTCACAGGGCTATGTCATATTGCAGCTATATATTCTCATGTTCACTTCAGTAGCATGAGGTCATACTTTAATCATAAAATTGAATTTAAACTAAATAAAATAACCCATTAGTAAATACCAGCAGGGAAGTTTCATATTATAAATCACGAATAAATAAATGTTGTACATTTTGTCAACTTGTCTTTCTTAGAAGTTAGTCAAAAGCTCTTACTGAGACTGGAGTCACAGAATCATAGAATGGTTTGGGCTGGAAGGGACCTTAAAAACCATCTAGTTCCAACCCCTGTCATGGGCAGGGACATCACTCACTAGATCAGGTTGCTCAGCGCCCCATCCAGCCTGGCCTTGAGCACTTCCAGGTGTGAAGGAAGCAGATTCATTACTGAAACCACTGTAATTTAAAAACCAAGATATATATATTCCTGGCAGTTTCCCCAAAACATTATTTTTGAGCTAGGTGAGATATTAGAAACATTTTATAAGGAAAGCATTTACTCAATATTGCTGTTACAGAGAATAGAATCACCAAAATGCCCACAGATATTTCAGTAGCCCAGTCCTTTCTTAAAAATGTTTTTTTCAGGAAGTGGGTCATGATTGGGACACATGCTGAAATAATATATATAGTGCAGAGGGGATAATTAATAATATTTCTAATTAGATTTTAAAATGCCTTTTTTGCCTTTAATCCCAAAATCCCCTTTTACTTGATGTCTTAAGGTTTTGGTCTGACATGTTGCAAAAGTGGGCCGGGACCCAAATGTTGGATCCAAACACGTGAAAATTTTGGATTCAGAACTGCTGCATAATTAGGAATAGGCCCTTCTTTCCCTCATAAACTGAAGTGAAACAGCTGTGAAGAAACCCTGAGCTTCGATCAATAAGATAGAGATGTCTGTGATTTAATTGAATTGGACCCTGTATCTAGCCTGTATTTAAATTCTAATATTGATCCAACATCAATACACAGCCAAACTTAACCATTTTTTAAAACTATTGAATTAATGCCACTGTAAAATGTTCGTTGGCTTTTTCATTTGAAATTTAATGACTTGGCATTCAGTGAAGCTTAGCAGTATCACAGATGCTTGATAGTGATGTCTAACTAAAGATGTAAAACAAAAGTAGCACTGAATCTTCATTTTGGAAGTTGAGATCTTTCAAGTTCTTTCTGTTTTGATGTTATTTTGACATAATTATAAGTATTTATGATTGTTACCATACAGAAGCAGTTAGTGAAACAGCTAGTACTTCATGTGGTTTCATGAATATTTCCTTGGCATAGGACTAACTATTAAGTGTATGTATTTTCATCTTATGTGAAGGATTTGTGATGTGATTGCAAAAAATTCTGCTAGTTTCAGTAAGAATTTTATGCACTCTATGCATAAAGCTCTCTTGTTCCAGTAATTAAAGCTTATTTATCTCTCTTGTTTTATTATTTGAAGTTTTGGCATTCAGGACTTTTACCACAATTCTTTGGGTTCTGTAAATTTTTTCAAAAGAAGAAAATACTATATTTCCGAAATAATTTTAAATATGAAATGAGGCAAATGGTCTAGGTATTGCAGCTAGACCAAAGATAAACTAAGGAAGCTGGAGCTTGAAATAGAGATCTTATTTAAGGTTTAAGTTGGAAGCAGGGATAGATATGTATTCTCATGAAATGTGACTACCATATAATTGTTAATAAGTACAGCATTTTTTGCTTCTTAGATTATAACAGCAAAATGAAACATATTTCTCTTTAATGTGAAGAATTCTCTCTAGAAGTCTAGACTTGTAAATATTTGTTCTTTTATTGAGATAGAAAGAAAAACAATTTTGAAAAAAGATCTGTAAAATATAAGAAAGTTATCTCTGTGATTTTTCATTTTGATTTTTGCATACTATTTTTCTCATATAAATGGCAGATTCAAGTGAGTGAAGATTACCTTTCTGCCTTGTTGTTCTGTTTCAGATGCCAGCATTCAATCAAGACATGAAATTTATTTTCTGAGTCAGAGACCTGTGAAATTTGCATCAAATTCTTAAAAGTGTCATTCTGGGTAAATATTCATGAAACACACCTGAACAAACTATCATCACTCCTTCAGGAGTTTCACCATTAAGAGAAGGCAGATATCTGAAGTGTGCTCTTGGTAATACCATCTCTTTGTATTCCATGGAATTAAATTCTACTCTTCTCACTTTTAAAGATATTGATTCTTTATAAAACAATGCAAATTGTTAGAAAGGGGGTTCCCCTCCTCCAGGAGATAGTTCTGTTTGTCAGAGACCTCTCAACCAATGAAAAAAAAGAAAAAAAAGTCAGATCATTATTTTTTATGAAGTATGGAAGACCACATGCATTTCTTAATGAATACTTGTGAAAATGCAATTTAAATGGCACTCTAATTTTTGCCCTTCTAACCAATTTATTATGAAATCTATTTACGATTTATGAAGTGAATACAACATTCTCAAATTGTAGTTTCCAGTCATTTATTTAAAAAAAAAAAAAGCTTGAAGAGTTGGGCTGGGTTTTTTACCCTTATTTTACTTGCTTAAATTGTAAAAGTAATAGGGCGATGTCAGCTATGTAAGAAAAGTTCTGTGATCATTTCATCCATTAAAATAAGTGCTTGGAAGTGGTGGCTGACATTCCAACCCCAAACTCACAGCCAGCAGTGGTAAAGACACTGAATCTGTGTACACTGTACCAGGTAACAACACGAGCATGAACTTTAACACCAGCAGTGATTTAAGAGAAATATGTCCACAAAAGAGAGAAGAAAACAGATCTTCAATATTTTACTGCACTTTGATGAAAATGCAGCCTTTTTAGGGGTCTGGGATTTCTAATGAAGACAACATGAGTTTCCTAGTTAGAAATGAAAACATCATAGATGACATATTGCTAAAGCTTACAGATAATTGTTCTAGCCAATCACTAAAAGCACACAGGCACCTGCTTCAAACAATGCTTGCTTGTATGTTTTCTATTAACAGTACACAATATTCTATTATTAAGCTTAAAACATTCTACTATCTTGCTAGGTGTGTTTTACTGCAGTCTTGAGGTCTATCTGGACTAAGACTAAAACTCAAACTATAGGCTCATGTCCTTGTTTGCTGTACTATTGTAACTTTTTTACTTTCAGACTTTGCAGCTCTATGTTCTCTGATTTTCTGTTTCTGAGGCCTGCTTTCACAGCTTTCTGAAAGTCTTCTTACCTTTACTATGTCTCCCACAATTCCCCTTCTCAGTACAAATACAGAGAAACTTTCTTAACTTTCTTATTAACTACTTTGTGTTACATAGTTCTACTATATTATGCATTTTTTAATCTAGTAAAACAGTGTTAGAAGTTTTTTACACAAAGGTACATCAGTAAAATTTAAAGTTTCTCACTATTTAATGTATTCTTTTTGCTTGTTTAGGGAGCATGTGATTCCATTAAGTGATGGAATGTTCTTTAAACTTTTTTATAACATCAGTTTCATTACATGGTTGAAACAATTGAAAAATAGCAACAACTCACATCTTACCAACAACAGCCAAAAATTTCTTCGTTACAGAACATTTAAAAAACTTTCTAGCTAATAACATATTACTAAAACTTATAAGTAGTTACTCTAACCAATCACTAAAACACACATACATTTACTTCAAACAATGTTTACTTACATACTTTCTATTAACATTACGCAATACAGTATTATTAAACTTAAAACTTTCTACTATCTTACTAAGTATATTTTTCTACAGCCTTAAGGTCTATCTTAGCCAAACCTAAAACTCAAACTATTATTTACTGTACTATTATAACTTTTCTACTTTCAAACTTTACAACTCTAAGTTCTCTGCTCTTTCTATTTCTAAAACCTACTTTCACAGCTTTCTAAAAGTCTTTTTACCTTTACAATGTTTCCCACATTGGTTAACTGCACCATTTGTCTCTGCTAGCTGACCTCAAAGCTGCTAATACACAGGAATTGCTTTCTCTTTAGTCACTGCTAGGCTATAGCTGGCAAAAGAGTAGTGAACTGCACTCACCTCAACACTGACCCATTGTTCAAACTATAATGCTTAACTATTGCCAGACCACGTTAGAAAACTATGGGTGTATTTTATTAGCAGCACTGCATACGTTGTGTTATCTGAGGAATATGAACCACAGAATTTAGATGGGTGTATTGACAGGCCATTCCACAATCAGTGAAGAGCTGTTTCACACTCAGTTTCAAATAAGTCTTTAATTTGGTCTTTAATTTGTTGGCAAATGTTGCATACCTGGCAATAACAGGTCGGCATTTGCGGAATAAAAATGCAAGAAAATGCAACTCTGTTTCTCCCTGCAGCACTTCTTACTTGCTGGGGTTTAGTTTTGCTGAATGACTTTTTCTCATTACAACATGGTGGTTTCGGGGATACATGATGTAATGAGGGGCATCTGCTTGTTGAAATCCATAATTTAATAATAAAGTGATAATTTTACCTAGGTTTTAGTCAACAGAGCTGACTTCTTACACACTAGCACACTTTACAGAACACATTGCCACATGTGTCTGGTCTTCTCAAGGCTGGACTGGATGTGCTATGGTGTACTGGCACATGTAGGAAAGAAGGGAACTGAAATTTTCTTTGCAAAATATCTGTGTACTACCAGTTGGTGATCATTCATTTGCTGTTAGTGCCAGATTCACCCACACATGTGAACTTAAACTTCATTTGATTAGATGAAGACAGTGTTTATGGAATGTACCAAAATACAGTAGGCATAGATGGTAGCAAAAAGTCATTTGTCACTGGAATTAGTTCAGCAGAGAGCCACCAGGATGGCTAGGGCTGGAGCATTTGATGTAGGAAACGCTGCTGAGAGAACTATTTTTTCTGTCTGAGAAAGGGAAGGCCAAGAGAGGATCTTATTGCTGCCTTCAGTTACCTAATGTCTGGTTATAAGGAAGTTGAGACCATATTCTGTTTGGAAGTGTACAGTGAAAGGACAAGAAGCAATGGACAAAACAGAAATTCCAAATGGATATTAGTTATTTTATTTTTTTTTAATAATGAGAGTCATCAAACACTGGAGTAAACTCCACTGAGACTTTGTAATTTTCATCCTTGGAGACTTGAAGAACTGGAAAAGCTAGTCTAACTTTGAGGATGGTCTTGATTTGGGCTGGGGGCTGGATCAGAGGTCCCTCCCAACTTAAATTATTCTGTGAGTCAATGGAAATCAATGTATGGATTTTAAGTAAGATGGAAAGCTGATTTTCCCTAACATTATTTTCTTGTTTTCATTGATGTGCTTACAATAGAATAGACAAAATGAAGGTCATTCGTTATACTTGCAATGTAAATTTTCAGTACTGTGGGCTGGTATCCAAACTAAAAGGAAAAAATTATTCAGCAATGAGTCTGAAACTTTGGCAACAGCTTTATAATCCATTTGTTGGCTGTTTATTTTTCTGTAGATGTAGATTATTTTGCCTGAGCCAAAGATCACAGAAATTAATGTATAAATATGTGTTTTAACCTGTTTGCCAATAAAAGAGACAAAGTAAAATGAAATCAATGCATCAGGGAGAGATTAATTGATGTGAGTGGCTTCATCTTCAAAACAGCCAGAAAACATCAGAAATAGCCTTAATGTACTTTAAAAGAGTGAAAAATATTTAAATTGTGGGTTGTTTCCCTATTAGACCTGATATTTCTGTGACTGTTTTTCAGATATTTTATTCCAGAATTTTTCTTGTGAACAGAAAATAAATGAGATGATCATGGAAAGTGACACACAGAATGGTACATTCTGCTTTCCTGTATGCTTTTACTAGTTTTCACCTACTTCCCTTTTGTGCTTCTGTGAGTAGACTCCTAACAGCAGGAAAATGTTGTTTTCCCAGGAAAATGCTTGATGTTGATGAAGAAAGAAAACATCAGCCTCACCATCTGAATTCCTATTAATGGTATCTCTGCATGTTGTATGTTTTTTCAAGTGCTCAGGAGAATTGAGCCTGTCAAACACAGATGTGCATAGAAGCAGTTTAGCAAGATGATTGTGCAGAGATATTAACAGCTGCAGAGTTCAGAAGTGCAAACAGATTTGGAACAGTGTAGTAGACACCTGGTTCTTCCTGAAGTCAGTGGGTCAAGGTCTCTCCTGTTTGCATTGAAATCTGCTGTCCAACTGTTTGGAACAGAGGTGATCTGTTTGCATTAGTCCTTACTAGATTTTTGAAAGAACAACAGATCATCACCTCCCTGCACATGCAGTTACTGAATACCACACATGAAGAAACTGGGCAATTAGTGTGGGATTGTTTTTCTCAGTGTAAAATAAAATTTAAATGGTTTGTAGTATTATGCAGTAAACATAGTATTTTGGAACTTACACTATGTATGTATTTATGGATATATGAGGATTCACAATGATAGGGAAGACACAGGAGGAAATTCACCTCTCTATTCAGACACGTACTAACGTTAACACTGAGCCAGAGAAAGAGGGGATTTGATGTTGAAGCATAGCTGCAGCTGTGGAAGTGCATCCCCAGAATATGGCAGTAAGTGGGTGCTCATGGGTTCTGGGAATGTGACAGTAACACCCTAGAAGAATTTGGATCTTCTGAGGTGAGAATAGTGGAAGAAATTAGTCCTGCCTGCCACTGCCATGTGCATTTCAGTAGGATGGAGGATCCATCTCCTTTTCCTTTGTCTCTTGACGACTCACACAAAAATAACAAAGGCTCCTGAGGTCTCTGTGTAATTTTCTTCCTCTCATCTGGGAAGGGGCTGATCAGTGCAGAGATACTGGCTGACAATCTTTCTTCAGCTTCTGTATGGCAGAATAATACCTCAAGATTTGGATTTGGATGGAGGTTATGTCAAAGGTGCTCAGGAAAGAGTGGCTTTTGCTTGGACACTGTGAAAACACAAACCATTGGTGACCTTGATAATTTTTTATGCAGTATAAACTGGGTCTATGGCCCTCAGAAAAATCACTGGAAATACTTCCAGGCCTGTATGGAAAAGCTCAAGATTAAAGGGCCCCTCACATCTGTTCTCTGTCACCAGCTTAAATGTAACCTACGACAGTAATGAATGAAAGGCCACGTGCTGTTTGGTCTGTGCAAAGGCTCTGTAGTCATTTGTGTACATCACAAATGGCGTTAATTGGCAGCTGTGTCAACAGCCTCTTTGAAGGAATTGGGAGCTCATCAGGCACATGGGCAGAGTC